CTCAAGTTTTCTTCTATAAATCATAAATCATATACAGAAAGTTACATAAGCGTATATACACACCCAAAGACACATTTAAAGATACACACACATATATGCTCATGTGTGCATGTAACACTCTCTTCTCTCTCTCACACACACACACAACACACACACACGTATCTCTCTCTCTCTCTCTCTCTCTCTCTCTCTCTCTCTCTCTCTCTCTCTCTCTCTCTCTATATATATATATATATATATAATATATATATATATATATATTATATATATATATATAATATATATATATAATATATATATATATATATATTATATATAATCACACACAGTATATATATATATACATATATATATATATATATAATATATATATATTATATATATATATATATAATATATATACATATATATATATATATATATATATATATATATATATATATAATATATATATATATATATATATATATATAACATGTATACACACACGTTGTGTGTGTTGTGTGTACTGGCGCCTACATATATGTAGAGTGTTAAAGCAAATATCATTAGAGTTATTAAGATGTCGAGTTAGCCAAGAGGTATTTGCAAAGTCATTTGCTGTTAATGAATTCTCCAAGAAGACTCACAGAAACGCAGAGCACTTTGCCATATTTGGTTGAACAGAATCTGAGGAAACTGCATGACACTCGCCTCTTCGCCTTGACACCAGTGCATGACATACGGTTTGTCATCCTATTTTACTGCGATTCTGTCATGTGCTTAATTTGTTTTAACACTTGTAGATAATGTAAACACAGGTTATGAAATTATTCTTGGAACACTTCTGAGCTTGCAGGTGTGTTTGAATAGTATGTATACGAGAATACACGCGCACGGACACATACATACATTACATACATATGTGTTGTGTGTATGTATGCATAGAGACCATGCATATACATTTCGGTATATCATACTCATATGTACGTGTTGTATATCTGTGTATACATATTCTATAAATGAACACATATCTTAAACTCCTAATAATCATTATTCTAAAATTTCTTTTCTGTATTCTCTCGTCACATTTTTTCTTTAAAATATTCCGAAAAAAGGTAAAAATTCTCCCATATTTTCATCTATTACCAAAAAGGGGGTTTAGGGGGTGAAGGTAGCAAAAGAAAAATCCAAAATCTTCAAAAAGAGTATATTTTCATACAATACAGACATGACCAGAACATAATTATTATGTACATCAGAATAACCAAATAAATACACATTACTATTAAGTAATATTATCAATATTCTATTCTCAAAGATGCTTCCCGCAGACGTTTTCCTCGTAAATCCAGACGCTTTCCTTTAGTTAGGAATAAAATTCGTTTCAAACTTTATTTTTTTTCTCCATTTCATTTGTCTCAATTTCCTGTGAAGACTTGAATACTTTTTTTTCCTTTCGTATTTTTTTTTCTTTAAACCAAGCAATTATTGCTAACATGTTATCCAGTTATCTAATATCTATGAAGGAAGAAATTAGAATATAAGAGAAAGTGGAAAAAAACGTTTTCCATAACAAAAAAAAAAGGTAATTGACAGCTTTCTTATCACAACACAAAGAGGGATTTTGGGGCGTCTGAAACGAAGATTAATCCCACCTTCGGAAGACGCCTCACCACGGGTATGCATAACGTCGCCATCCACTGAGAAACACGCCTCCACGGGAACCCACGTGTCCGCTGAATGAGACACCGTGTCCGCCAGGAACCACGTGTCCAGCTGAGAGAAGGAGCGTGCGATCGCTCAGAGACACGGAGAGTCTTCGGCGAGGGGCGCAAAAAAAAAAAAAAAAAAAAAAAAAAAAGTGGTCGACTCAACCACGTGTCTTTGGAAATAAGGACACGTGGGGATACGAGTCCTATTTTTTTTTTCTTTTTGTCCCATACACCGAGGTACATTTACGTGTCTCCCGAAGATGCGCATGCCGACATGACCAAGATAATGAGAGAGATGACATGAGGCTGAATATACATGTTATGAGATGAGTCGTGTGGAAAGAGGATAGTGGTCATATTTCTCTTTTATTCATTTTTTTTTTTTTTATCGACGTTATCAGGGTGACGTGTAGCTGGTGGATTTGCGGACGCGAGACAAATAATAACAATGGTAATGTTAATAGAAAAAGTCGTTACTGAGAAAGGGAAGAAAAAAAAAAATATGGGATGAAAAAAAAACCCGGTCATGGTTGCACGTTCTTGAACAAACCGCGAGTTTTTTTTTTTTAATAATTTTTTTTTGTTTTTTTTTATTTATTTATTTATTTCGCCTCGACAGCACTGGGTATGTGTCGAGTAAGAACACTAGTTTTCTTGTCGTTCTGAGCGCTGTAATAACTGGCTGGGGGGATAACAAGACACTCTGACCTATTTTCTTTCTCATTTCTCTCTCCCCTCTTTCTCTCTTTCTCTCTCTTCTCTCCTTCTTCAAATACGTCTTGAGGGGATTTTCAGGCAGCCAATCGGGGAAAAAAAGAGGATTTTATCATCGTTATCATCATCATCATTATTATTCGTTATCATCATCATCTCTATCGTCTTTATCGAGTGTCTTAGCCAATAACAGTACAGCGTTATCACGACAAGATGTTTTGTGTTTTACTTTTTGGAAAAAAACAGCAACAAATGGACATGGGTCACTAGTTTTGGCGTTGGTGTACAGAGGGCAGCACTTTGTCATATTGTGAAAAAAAATGTAATAACAGTAATAATGATTAAAATAATAATCACATGATAATATTCATGATAATGATAATAACAATAATAATAGTAGTAGTAGTAACAATAATAATAATGATAATAATAATAATAATAGTGATAAATAATAATAATAATAAAAATATTCAGTACTCACTATGTCCGATACAGCAATTCATTAAAAAAAATTAATCACATCAAAGATCTTTTATTTCTTAAAGAGTAACATACATGTTTCACAATATTGAAAAAAGTCCATAATTTTACCAAGGACTTGTATATTTATACATAATATCACTGGGCCATCAAAATATAAAACGAGATAGATAGATAGATAAATAGATAGGCAGAGAAGGTAGGAGAAATTTGCACTGTTGTTTGTAGACTAAAAAAAATATTCATAGGATGTTTTGAAAAATGGAGATTACTATGAGAAGAAAATTTCTTGAGAAAAGAGCAAGAAAGCGAGACATCTTGAAGGAAAATGTAGGAATAAGCCAAGTCGACACAGCTTGTAGTAGTCGAAAATGCCAATAAATGAATAACAATAATAATAAATAATAATAATAATAATAATAATATATAATGATAGATAGGTATAATAATAATAGTTACAATAATAATAATGATAATAAATATAATAGTGATAAAGGTAATAACCAATGATAATAATACTCAAAATACGAATAATGATAACACTAATAATCATCAAAATAACAATGATATCAAGACCACCGATCAAGACTTTACCCCCCCCCCCCCCCAGGCAATTCTTATTTACCAACGCTGCCCCGGGGTCGTGTCCGCGCTGCCCCCCTCCCCCGCCCCCCCTGACCAAAGCCGAGGAGTTCACACAGAGGAAATAAAGGAATTATTATATTGCGAGGGTCACAGTACCGCCAGCGCCAAGGTATCAAAATAACTGTGAAAAATAATCCTCATTGAGATTGCTTTGCTTTGTGAAAAATAATGTGTTGGTTTTCGTATCTCTTTTTTTATTTTTCTTTTAGTTATTTTTGTTAATCTTCGTGTGTTTTTACATCTCATATTTTTTCTTTTCTTTTTGTTTGTTTACGTTAAGGTTGATATCCATCGGGCTGCGGGTCTATAAACAATGTATTTTTTTTAATATTCTTAAAACTGTTTATTTTTGTATATCATTATTATTTTAGTATGTGATATTATTATTATTTTTTTTTATCTGAGAATTATCTTACTATTTTCCAAATCTGCGATTAATCGATTACTTGTAGAATTAGATGGTCGGCCTAGAGTGAATTTTTGGCTGTTTGGTGATGTGGTTTTCAAATGTATAATATATATTTTTTTTACCTTAGGATCAGCCGCTCTTTAATATTTAAATCTTTGTTTTTAACTATAGCTAATTCATATATTCTTTATTTGAAAAAAAAAATGTTCGTGATTTGTGGGTCTGCTTAAGTAGTTTTATAATTTGTTTTATTATTATTATTATTATCATGCTTGATAAAAAAAAAAAAAAAAAATACCACGAGAGTTTAATACCAAATATCTTCCGCCATTGCATTTGATGTCGATAAGGGCGGTGATCCTATTGTTACAGCAGGTAATCTTGATCCATGGAGGCTGGATGCGGAAGGTTCAAAATGCTGGATGGTTTAATGAAGGGATTTTGACCCACGGTCGAAAAAGCAACAACACAATAATGATTCTAAAAAAAAATGAATAATAATAATAAAAAAAGAAAAACATCATCATCATCATCATTCTTTTTAATGATATCTAGAACTAGGTTCATATTAAAAAAAAAGAAACCCACATACACTCAAGTATTAACCGACAATTTTTTTTGTGTGTGTATCCCATCTATTCTCAGACAAGTCATGGTTTCCACTTCTGAAGCTCTTTCTCCTGTACACGAATGTTAAATATAGTCACGATGCTCCTCTCTTCAGTTCTTCTTTTTTACTGTAGGCAGTCTATTAGAAAGAAAATAAGAAAACACCCAGAGAAATCAAAGCACCATAGTATTTTCCATTGCAGCGGCCCTCTAGCGGCACGCCGAGAAAACTACCTTACGTAGAGTTCACTGGATTTTTTATTATTATTATTATTTATGTATTTTTATTTTTAATTTTTTTTTAAGAATCTTTAATGGTTAGTTTATGACATCCTCCAGAGGCCTATCTTCGGGGCCTCCGTCAGCTACACCGGCCTAGGGTGGCGGCTTTGAGGTAAGACAGGTTGAGGCCGCGCGCACACCAGTCCGTCTTCGTTTCCTTCGCCTCACACAACGACACTTTTCGCGCACACAGTCAGTCATCAGGTTCCTCTACACACGGGTCAGCACGACTATCACTGGTGGCTTCCGCGGAAACCTCTCGAGGGTTCGATTTTTTGTGATTATTATTATTTTTTTATTTCGTTTTTTTTTCCAGATACGTTTTTGTCCAGGAAGACCGGCGCGCTAGCACTGGGAGGTCCAACACAAACTTTACATTTGTCTATATTTTATATATCGTGGGCGCTGCCATGACTTCACGTTGCTAAACTTAGTCTGTATACTTGACATTATACACGCACAACGCGATCATGGTGCACACGCACACATGTACACGCACAGACATACACCCGCAAACAGCTGCTGTCGGTCCGCTCTTTGGTATACGCTCTACTAACAAGTAGTTTACGGACTATTTACACGTGCAATATACAACACAGTGCCGACCATGACACACCGTGCTTCCGGAGCTTTGTGCACGTCTCGGGCTCGCCCACGAAGAGTTATTTGCACTGGTAGCATTTTGATTGGCGAGAGAGGACCCGGTGACCCGCCCGGGCTCTCCTGGCCTTGTGGCCCGCTCGTCGGCCGACCTGGCCTCCCGTCTGCCCCGCGGCCCGGGTCGCGGCCGCCGGCCCGCCCGCGCCAGGGAGCAGCGGCGGGAGGGAGGGGGCTAGAGGGGGCTGGAGGAGCAGACGGAGCCACCGCTCAGGGCGTTGACGGCCACGAGGTGGGTGTGCAGGTGAGCGGAGGCGGCCCTGGGGGCCCGCCCTCACTTGTCAGAGAGTTTGAGGGGGTCCGGTAAGTCCGGACGCCGGTCCAGGCCGTTCACCATTTTCTCGATCGACTTGAGCTCCGACGCGACGTTCGCTGCGTGGGCGGCGGAGCGGCGGACGCCCTCCTCCAGCCGGGAGCCCGCCTTGGGGCTCACGGCCTGGAAGGCCGAGGAGCCGCCGAGGGGCGCCTCCCCGATCAGCGAGGACGAGAGCGTGGGCGTGATGCACGAGGACGACAACGACGAGGAGAGCGAGGAGGACAGCATGGACGACAGGGAGGCGGCCGTGGACGAGGGCAGGTAGGGCGTGAAGCGAGGCGGCTTGAGGCGGTCGGGCAGCAGCGGCGAGGGCGCGGCCGGCGAGGACGACGTGGGCGGCGCGGCGCTGAGGGAGCCGCTTGCGGTGCCGCTGCCGCCGCCGGACGAGACCGCGAGGCCGGCCAGGCCCTGGTAGTTGTGGGAGCCCAGCAGGTGGTGGCCGGCGCCCGCCAGCAGGTTGTGCGCCAGCAGGAGGTTGTGGGCCACGGGGAGGGAGGTCGGCGGCGTGAGGGGGGAGGAGCCGTGGGGCGGCGCCCCTGCGCCCGTGCCCAGCAGAGGTAGCTGTAAGCCGTGGGGGTTGAGGCCGGAGTTGGAGGCTCCGGGCAGCATGAGGCCGTGGAGGCCCGCCAGGCTCTGCGCTGCGCCGGGGTACAGCCCGTGGGGGTACAGGTACGGCAGGAGGTGCGGCGGCTGGAAGGGCGGACCCACGCTGATGTTGGGCGTGGGCTCCGCGCCCCCCGAGCCCGAGGGCTCGTCCTTCTCCGGCGCCGCCTTCTTCAGCGCCGCCAGCATGCCGGCGTCGTCCATGTCGGAGTCCAGGTCGCTCTTCCGCTTGACGGAGTCGCGGCCCGAGTCGTCGGCGGCGTTGTTGTTGGTCTCCTCGCCCGACACGTCCGAGTCCATCAGCTCGCCTGGAAAGAGACAAAAACACGCGTTACGCACAGCCGCAAACACAAGCGGGTCTTATCAGTCAGTATCGCCAAGTCTTGCGCGAAACAGGGCGACGCGCCGCCAAGGAACGGGAGAAGGAAGCGAGAGAGGAGGAGGAGGAGGAAGGTCCTCGAGAGCGAAACACGCGCCGCACAAAGGGCGCGGCCGGGGCTTAGGACACGGGGCAGGAAAGGGAGACAAAGGCGGCGGCGGCGACGTCGCAGCTCGTCAGCGGCGGGTCCTTCCGTCCTTACCGTGAGCCGGGTCGCCGTGGAGTCCGTCGTGCCGACCACGTCCAGCCGCTCGTCGTCGTCGTCGTCGTCATTGTCCTTGTGGTTCTCGGAGTCCATGGCGGCGTTCTCGGGGTACGAGCGGATGTTGGGCAGCGCGATCTGGTGGTCCGCCTTCTGCTCTTCGTTGGCCCGCGTCATGATCACGTTTCTGCAAAAGGAAGAACTGCAAAATTTAGTGAAATATCTGCATCGGTTCAGATTGAATCGAACGGAATTACTTTTTTATGACAGATGAAGATATAAATACAAATAAACATAAAGAGACATGAGTGAGAAGGGTAATAACCAATATTGATTAAAATAATACAAGGTATTGAGAAAATGACAACAGTAATATAAGAGAAAGGTACACACTCAATACCCTGCTAAGCCCCACCGCCTATTAGGCAAACGTCACCCAATCTCGCCTCTAAGAACGAGATTTAACACTTCCTCCGTCCCCCCTCCCCCACCCTCGACCTCTCCCATACCCTAACCCCCTCCCTCTCTCCCTCCTATATAACAGATTTGTCAACAGCTCTCCTCTCTCCTCTCCTCCTACTTCCCCCCCACCCTCCTACCTCCCAATCTTCCTCCTCCCTCCTAACCTTCCCACCACCCTCCTACCCCCCAATCTTCCCCCTCCCCTCCTCCTACCTTCCCTCCCACCCCTCCTACCCCCAATCTTACCTCCCTCCCTCCTACCTTCCCACCCACCCTCCTTTCTCTCTCTCTCTCTCTCTCTCCCATTCCCACTCTGTTCATCACCATTTCCGGCTTTTTCCTCTTCCCTTGATCTCCCATTATCGCTCCCCAGGTGTGAGATCCGCCGCCCTTGATCCCCAGGTAGGCGAAGAGGGCGCGAGAGACAGAAGACGGTCACTCACACAGGAGTCGCTGAGTTAAAAACCTTTGAGTCGGAAGGAATCGTTTGAGTGGTCTCGATGGGCGGTTTCCTCTGATGACCTGACCGTGTGTGTGTGGTGGTGTGTGTGTGTGTGTGTGTGTGTGTGTGTGTGTGTGTGTGTGTGTTGTGTGTGTGTTGTGTGTGGTGTGTGTGTGTGTTGTGTGTGTGTGTGTGCGTGTTGTGTGTTGTGTGTCTGTGTGTGCCTGATGCCATCTGCGTGTGCGTGTGTGTTCGCGTCTGATCCCATGTGCGTGCGTGCGGATACACACGTGTTCGATGCCAAAGCCCCAGGGGGAGCACCGTGGCACAACAGCCGAGAGCCTAAATCACAGAAGACCATTAAATACAATTCGGAGGCGGCACCCACAAGGAGGTCCAGCGGAGGTACACAGACCCCCTTGTTCTGTGCCACTGGCCGCACTTCCTGCCCGGAGGAGGGGAGGGGAGGAGGAGGAGGAGGAGAGGAGGGGGGGAGGAGAGGAGGTAGGAGAGGAGGAGGAGGGGGAGGAGGAGGAGGAGGGAGGAGGAGGAGGAGGAGGAGGAAGGG